CTTCCATCTGTCCCACATGTCCTTGTCCAGAATTTATAGGGCCAGGGATACAGCTCAGCAGCACAGTGCCTGCCTGGCAAGTACAAGGTCCTGAGTTCAATTCCCAGTACCAAAAAAAAAGAATTTACAGCATGAGTTTACCAAGCATTGCTGGTCATTCTGTGCTGGAGGTCAAGCCTATGTACATAGACATGAAACACCCAGCACCTGCCCCCAGCCAACTAACACCAGCTAGGAAATTCAGGCACTACTGACTCCTAGGTGGTTATTTAAGAGGTCCTGATGTCACATCCTGGGTACCAGAGGGACAACGTGGGCCCTGCTGTCCAGGAAGGCTTCCTAAGGAGGGGACCTGAAAGCTCAGCCCAAGGAAAGGGAATGGAGGGCAGGCGGGCATGGTGAGAAGCCTCTGGCTGGGAGCAGTGTGGCCATCCTTGCAGCTGGCATGTGACAAGGAAGGGGCATGGCCGTAGGTGAGGCCAGCATGCACCTGGGCCCTGCTGAGGCGAGGGCCTGCAGAGGGGACTGACGGATGCATCCCGGGGTGGGGGCCCAGGCCTAGCTCAACAGGCCTCACTCGTGCCTCCCCTGGCAGGCTTCTGAGCTGGGCTAGACACGCCTGCCCTGACGGCATCTTGCTCTTGTTGCAGATGGTGACTCCAAGTATGGGGCAGATCCAGGAAGGAACAACAGGGGCCCTTCCAATGGGGCATCAGGCAGGTAAGGGGGGGCGCTGGGAGGGGTGGACGTGGGCAGTCGGGGTCCTAGGAGCTTTCGTCACCTGTCAGCAGCAGGAGGGAGAGAGGAGCGTTTTCCTGGCAGGCAGAATCTTGTAGCTTCCCAGGGACCAGAGAACTCCACTGCCACTGCATCCCTGTGCCCCCAGGGACCTAAGCCCGAGGCCACACTAGGGGCTGACTCTCCGTTCCAGGCCTCAGCATTTGCATCTCCGATGTCCCTAAGTCTTCTCTGTCTCCCCCACTTCTGCCAAACGGTGCCATCAGGGGCCACTGGCAGGTCCCAGGTCCCAGGCACCCTGCTCCTAGGCAGCAGTTTCTGGGTGTCTACTTTGTCCCAGGCATTGTTTGAGGGGAAGGCGGTGAAGGAATCTGGCTAAGTCCCTTCCTGGCAGATCATGGAGCGACAGACTGTCACAAGTGTCCAGGAGGAAGTGCCAGGCGATGAGGGGCAGAACTCCATGGGGGGCAGGGAAGGTCCTGTGAGGAGGTGACACGGAGCCAAGGACTGAGGACGAGAAGGTGCTGCCAGGGAAGATGGGCTGGGGATCGGCACCTGGGCAGAGGGAGCAGGAGGAGCAGAGGTCTCGAGGGGGACAAGCTGAGCTCTGGGGAACTGAAGGGAGGCCCCACAGGGCCATGAGGTTGCAGACGTGCAGGAGGCTGACCCCAGGAGCCAGGCAGGTGCAGGCTCTGGCCGCGGGTGTGAGTAAGCCACAGCAGGGGCTGTGTGCGCACAGGGCCATGAGGTCACAGCATCCAGGTCTCCACCTGTCACCTGTCACCCGAGACCCCACCCAGGCGGTGTGAAAGCCTGGGCTCCAGGGGCACAGGAAAGCCTGCAGACACACGCAGCCCCGGGGACTGGGAAGGGAAGCAGCACCTGTCAGCTTCCAGAGTACCAGTGTGGGCCCTCCAGGCAGATCCCCAGCGGTGGGATGGACACCAGCAAGTCTCTTCCTGGAGGCCTGAGCTGTCCCTGGCTGGTATCGGCCCCCACCGGGCCTGTGAGCTTTCACCAGGGAGCTCTGGCTGAGGAGCAGCCGGAGGCCTCCAGTCCCAGCGGAGAGCGTGGTGGGGGTGGGCGTTGGGGCAGCCAGGCCTGGCTTTCGGGTCCTGTTCCCTCGCTGTGTGACCTGAAGAAAGTGACTCTCAGCCTCAGTTTCCTTGTCTACAGAGTGGGAATGAGGGTGAGGGATGGGTCAGGAACTGAGCCAGAGAATACTTGAGATTTTTCAGGAGCTGAATATGGTGGTACACACCAGGAGGCCAAGGCAAGATTGCAGGTTCAAACCCAGCCTGGGCAATTTAGCAGTTTAGCAGCAAGACCCTGTCTTTAAAATGTAAAGGCTGGGAATGTAGCTCAGTGACAATTCAGTCCCAGGTCCACCCCCATCCCCACCCCCAGTAAACAAAAGCAGCAAAGAATGAGTTTCTCTGGGAGTCAAGAATTTAATCCTCACAAAAGCTGGCATTTTCCTGGTGCTTCTGGCCAGGCCATGGACGTAGCAGATGCGACAAACTTGTGACCAACTCCACCTCCTGCCCCATGGCAGCTCATATTCCTGCCTCCCTTGCTTGCTTTCCAGCCCATGACCCTGTTTCTGCATCGGAGTTCAGCATCTTGGCGTATTTTGCACATTACTTCCGGGTCTGCTCTGGGAGGCAGTGCCTGTTCCAGATGTTCTCAGAATACATTTGCCCATCATTGAATGGCATTGAGCTTACATGTGTGAGTCACAGTTTTAACCACTCGATGGCCTTAAACTGCATGTGCTGAAGCCTAAACGTAAGCCAGGGATGAGGTTGGGGGCTCATGACA